TTTACAACATCATCAAAAATCATGTCACATAATCGCATTCACAATCCTCGTATTGAAGAAACAGCTAACTTTCCCATATGAATGTCAAATTGCTATATATATTATAATGTCCATCTTGATATTCCAAAACACACCATAACACTATCATGATAAGGGGTAACAAGGATTGAGTAAATCCTCATATGAAGTTGCCATAATATAAAAGGGTTAAATAAAACAAGAAAATTTAGTTTAAAATTAGGGTTTCTAGAAAAATCCTTTTAAGATGTTTTTAACTCAAACATAAGTTAAAACAATAATAAAGAAGACATGAAAGCATGACAAAGGAAAAAAAAAATAAATAAGGGCAATTAGGTATCCTTCCTAATTTTCTCCATTCATTTGCAATGGATGAAACAGAAAGAGAAATCATCTCACTGTACCATATGTCGTGGCGCACCCCTATTTTCATGATTGTAATAGTCCTTACACTACTTTACCAGAGATCTTTTGGATTAGGCCAACCCACCTCACGACAGCGAAAGCCAGCTTTTTTCAAGATAATACTTAAGTTATTCCTCACCCACCAAAAAAGGTCTTTTAGAACCTTTTCAGATTCAAACCTCCAACCTCTACGACCTTAAGAATGTTAAGGCTAAGTCTGGTACCATTAAGTCAAGTTCAGTGGTGCCAAGTTCAGCCTTAACTTGTTAAGTAAGAGATGTTAGAGAATCAAACTTGGAAAGGCTTTCCTTGCGGTATTTATTGCAGGAGAATAATCTCACATACTATTGTGAGGAAGCCTTGTCTCATGACGCTCTTTTAGGAAAGGTCGTCCCATGTGGGGCTTAGGGGAGGTGTGTCTAGCATTGTGAAAGTTCAAGGGGAGAGGCATTTGGTGAGCTGGGATTGTTACATAAAAAGCACATTTTATGTAACAGTCCTTACCCTACCTCATCGAGGGTTTTTTGAACTTAGCCAACCCACATCACTACAGCGGAAGTTAGCTTTTTCCAAGGTGATATTTGGGTTATTCATTACCCTCACAAAAAAAGTCTTTTATAACCTTCCCAAACTCGAACCTCTAATCTCTATCACCTTAATAAAGTTAAGACTAAATCTGGCATCATTGAGTTAAAAACTCAATGGTACTTGGGTGAGGAATAACCTAAGTACCACCTTGAGAAAAGTTGGCTTCCGCTACAGTGATGTGAGTTGCCTAGTTTAAAAGACCCCAATAGGGTGGGGTAAGGACTATTACAATAATAATACTCTATGACCAACTTTCGAAGCGTGCCGTTTCACCATCCAATATTTGATTCGAGCAATTCATGTGTCCACATGTAGCTACTCAAGCTCTAACTATTAGAAATAGTTTCACAAGAAAAATACTTCACCAATTGCAAATTGGACATTCAGGTGTAAAAAGTTACTTTTTTACTTCAAAACATGCATAAAAGTGTCCAAAACTAAAATCGCTTGCCAGTAGCTAAAGACCACTTAAACTAACCCACAAACCACAAAGCACCTAGTAGAATAGATAGATATACATACATTTATCTTGAATGTAATATAGCCATAAAAACCCTAAATCTCACTAATCAAGTAGATGAATCCATAATTCAACATATTCTCTCTGTGGCCAACCATAAATACATAATTACTACTATATATATATTTGCACTAGTATTTCAGTCTCTTACAACAATTCCCATGAAGTTACATCAATCAAGGTTGAAACATCAAAATAGCATAATAGTTTCATACAAGTGCAAACTAAAAGAATGTTCTAAGTTGGCAAATGTAAATCTCACTCTCACACACACACACACTCGTCGATCATAACTAAAAGATGAGAGTCAACAGACTACAAAACTTATAACTCTCCTAATCCCTTGCATTGTCTTCCTTTCCTTTACCCTTAATAAAACCTTCTCCTATAAAAATATAACTATGAGGGTGAGAACAATATCTCAGTAATTAAATGATCTAATTTATCTACAAGTATGCTAGAAAAGTACTTGAACATATGAAGTGGCAAGTAAAATAATTTTTCAAAAGACATATAGATCACAATTCATAACTAAACAATGCATAATCAAACACTTTACCTTATGTCCTCCTTATTTTCTCTGACTGAATTTATAAACTAAAAATTTAATAGGATTAAGTCTCTGTGACTGAACTAGCCAAACTCATCAATTATAGGAGATAGCCCAGCCAAAGATGCCTTTAACCATTCTCAAACCATAAATTTTTCCTTTTCCAAATATCCAAGGGTCGTATGCCCAATTTATCATAAGGATAGTACGGGGACTTCTAAATAATAAAAAACTGAGTATCAAGGCCTCTAGGATGCCAATAAGTACCTAATGGATTTCATACAACATAACTCTTTTAAGATGAATTCTAACCCTCCCACAATGATCATACTCATGCAATCCAAACAAACATAATCACATAACAACTAGTTCAAGCTACTGAAAGCAATTTCAATTTGTAACCAATTTCACCAATATATACATATCTATATAAATTTATAGGTTTCGGGCATAAAAATAATCTTTCATATATATTATCCTACTTCACATAAACTTTTCAAATCACAAATTAACATTTGTATTAATACATTGCTAATTTTAAACAATAGAATATATTTTGCAAACTTACAATCATTCAAATCACGCAAGTAAGAGGATTAGATTATCTAATTACTTCAACCCTTTTGTGACAAAAGGGTTGCGATGGCAAATATCAACCCCTATAGCCTCCACTAGCTTAAAGGGTCCAATCAATATTTAATCTATAAATTAAACATCAAGTATCAAAGTACGACTCTAGTAAACACCCCCTTTAGGCTAAAATTCCTCTTTAATATAAATCTAACTAGCATCCCATAAATCTAGATAATACTAAATTATAGCCCGCATTGCTCCTAAACCTTTAATTTAAACTTAGAGTTCGCCTAAACCGTAGCTCAAAATTTCAAATCATCATAAAATCATCAAGCTTAAGTTTGGAAGCTTAAATTAACTCCCTATGGCTTCATCTAAGCCAATAGGTTCTTCCATAACCTCCCTATAATAGAAAACAACCTTCCCAACATCACTCAACATTGTTAGTGCATGGAGAAGGTAGATAAGATGTGGGAGAGGCTTACCCAACAAGAATCCAACTCAAAATATTTCCTAAATACGTTGATGTTATGCCCTAGTAGAGACAAGGTGAGCTCCTTCTAATTTTTCTTTCTTCGTTTCTCTCTTTTTTGTTTCTCACGTGCCAAATTTAACAAAAATCAAGTATGTCCATAGCAACACATCTACCTTCGCTGAGACAAAAGCTGGGCCTCACATTTTTTAGGTCTACTCTTGAGCCCAACAACCTAAACACCATTATAGTCTTCTTCTAAAGCTGTCCAAAAATCAATAAACCAATTAGTCGTCCAGAAACACCATTAGTTCAATAAATGCTCTAATTTACCAATTTGCCCTTATTAACACTTTAAATTCCAAATTTTGAAATTTGAGGATATTACATATATCACTTTAAATAGCATAACTCTTTAGCACAAAATCTCATTTAATCACAATTTACTCAAAATCACATTCAACCATTAATTCCAACAGCTACATTTGCATTTAAACATACCAAAAATATAAATCATTTCATAGTACTATGAAGAATAATTTCACATTTTCAAAACAAATTCTCAAAGCTTTATTATCAAACAAACAAGCCTATGCAAAAATTGAAATTTTTCCTAATTACCTCAAATATTTGAGAGGTCAAAGGTTACCGATCAACCGAACTTGTTTAAACTCAAGCCTAAAGCCCTATAGGTCTTTAATAGGCCTTAAAATGAACTCCCCATTGTAAACCCTATAACTCAAAAATGGAGTAGAGAAAGAGAAATGATAGAAGATGCTTACTTTAGTGATTAAAAGCCCTTAACCCCCTCAAAAAAATTGCCAACATACTCATGCCCTAGCAAAGAAAAATGCAAGCCTTCATTCTTCTCTAAAGTTCTCCTTCTGATTTTCTATAGCACGAATGTCACTTTTAACTCAAATTGGCGAATGGTGTGGAGAGGCTTGTCCAAATTTTTGTTCTCTAATTGGGCCAAGGTGGCTCAATTCCCTTCTAAGCTCGATCCCAAGGTTGTGAACAAACCTGATAGGTTCATTAACTAATTCTAACCATCCTTAAATTAATTAACATATAAATTCTCATAATTAGCCTGAATTTAATCCTTTAATTCAGAATTTAAAATAAGGATGCTACAAGTTGTATGATAAATTATATTATTTACTCCATCATTAACAAATTTTATTTTACAATTTTTATGCCACGCATGAAAAATGTTTAATTCAATTAAAAAGACTTCACAAAACCAAATTAATGTCTAGAATTTTTTGGTATGCAAAGAGTAATTCCGAATCCCATGGTTTGACAATGGATGAAAGATTAAGAAAGAATCATCAACATTTAAAAATATATATTAAAAAATTTATAAAAAATTATTATTTATAAATCATGAATAAAAATACAAGTCTTTTCTTACCATAGAAGTCATATCTAAGTCATGAATAATAGTTTATTATTCAAATAGCTCATTGGAATGTTTTCACATCCAAATAGTGTAGTGGTGTAAGTTAGTGTAAAACCATAATTTAATGGGATAATAGCACTTAAAAGACTCTAGATAAATTTACATCTAAAACCTAATTTATTGTAAATTGATTTTAAAAGCTCAAAGACCTTATATGCAAATATGTTTTGCAATGAAAAATTCCATTTGCCCCTCATTTAAAATGTTACAAATTTCTTACACGATATATGAACAATAAAATGTCCCTACATAACAACGAGGACGACAATCCCACATTTATACACAGGTTTTCTCTGGAAAAAAACTTTTTTTTTTTGTTTCCCTTCATTTTTGGTACCTTCTAAGATATTCACATGCACCTGATATGCATGGATCCAATGGTGACAGAATACAAATGCTTGTGACAAACAACTAAAAAGAATTCAACCCTATGTTTCCTCATATATATATATATATCATATAAATATTATAAATCATAAACATTTGACATGCCTCACAAAACTCCTCAGACCCTAAACACCTCCCCCATCATCACATGTATTTTCCCACACTTGTCGAAGGTAAAAATCTAACACAAGAATAAATCCAATGAATGCATCAAGTTTCTGGGGAGCAAAAACAAGGGGGAAATAATAAAACAAAGGACTGATCTAAACAGACCTAGTTTCATCTCAATACCCAACTATATGACTTGTTTTAATCTTCTTTTTTCCAACTTTGTTTCATCAAAAAGGGGCCAAAACCCACCAGAATGCTAGCCAGCAAGAATTTGTGTTAGCCCTATTATTTTATGTAGCTGCTGCATTGGTCGAAATTGAAATGTACTGGACGTCAACGACAATGAGATAAGCGCTTCTCAGCGACCTGTTTTCGCGCGTTTCATTCCACTAGAATTGAATGGAGATACACTGCCACTTGGTCCAGGACTCTCCTCTCTGAAATTTGAATTCAGCAGTGCTAGTTCACGCAATTGCTGCCTCTTAATGTAGTCTTGTGACTCATCCTGCATTTGCAAGCTTCACATCTCAGAGAAAACAGATTGACACAGAAGCAATAGAGAAGAGAGAAAAGGAAAATGCAAGGCAATTGAATCTTGAGCATGTTGTACTTGCTCCCCTAATTTTATTTATAAGTTACTTTTAACATATTTCACCGGAATTAAAGAAGACATTAAAACTAATTCACTCCATCTAAAATTTAACAAGTTTTCAATTTTGACCCTACTAAATATACATGTTTTAATAAATATTTTTCCTCTCCAACATTTAATCAAAATTAAAGGGGAAAATTTGTAATACAAATTTAATTATATGACTTATAAATAAAGCAAAAAAAAAAAGAAAAAAGAAAAGAATCTTCTCTCCCTACTCTATAAATAGTACATTGACATATGTCTGAACATATACTCCCTCTAGTCCTATGCACTTGACAAATATAACTAACTTCACCGGCATTAAAAAATGATAGTTACATCTTTAAACTTGTTAAAAAATATTACCCTCATCCCAAATTATTAGACAATTTGAAACAAGATTATGCATACCAATAAAATTCAATAAAGACACTTTACTTTTTCGAAACAAAAATATAAAATTCCAAGAATACCGTTCATTTAATATAACTTCAAATCCACAGTCACTTCAATTCTCTTTCCATTTGAAGGATAATATTGAAAAAGTATCATTAATGAAATTGTATTTTTGTCAAATTGTTTTATATTTTGAGACAACAAAATGCCTTCAACGTTGTCTTGTAATTTGGGATGAAGGAAGCATGTAATTTTCAATTTTGTCCTTCTTTGCAATTAATAACCACAATAAATTGTTGCCTCAGAATTCAAAGTACTTACAATTTGTTACACTTATCAATCATAAAAAAACCCTCAATTCCCATAAACAAAAGAGACCCTCAATAAATAAATAAGGGGTAAATTTGGGGAAAAATTAATTACTCTAACATTTCCCTATATTAAGGACCAAGAAGAGCTCGGAAACTTTACCCTCTAATTAAGACCAAAGGAAGTATGCAAGCTCTGTACACTAATTGAACAAAGTTGAGTCCTAATCAACTTAACTAACAGAGAATAAGTTAACCAACTTCAGATAAGTTGACACAGGAACAATTTTCCATAAATGAGATCACTCAGCAAACTTCTATGATAGTAATTTAACCTACAAACTGATGTTTCCAGAAAAGAAAAAAAAAATCATGACATCAATATCCAGAGAAAGCAAGAGGACAAAAGTTAGGTGCAATTTTTTTTTTTTGGGAGTATTTTTCCAAGTCCCACATTGGATCCAAAAGTCTGAAAGTAAAATTTGATTTTCAGACAAAGTAGAAATGTTTAGAACTTTAGATAAGGGAAATATTAGTTAGAATAACATTTCTCCTATTCTCACATCGATTGAGAATTTAGGCAATGATTTGATTAAGAGGTTTGGATATCACAACCAAGCATAGGATTAATGGGTGTAACCGGGGTCTCAGATTCCTGTGATTTGTGAAGAGGATGTTACAATTTGTTTTATGTTCAGAATTACATGTGCAGAGAGGGTTTCATGATCCTTTTGTTTTTATTGGAAAGCATAATAAACAACTACCCATGGAAGTTTACTAAGGTTTGGTCAAAATTAAAAGTCCAAATTACGATAACTAAAACTAACTAGTGTCTTAACATTTGCTTGAAAATTTAAAAGCTTTGATGTTTTAGTGTACACTTCTCTCCATGCTCGACGAAGAACAAAAGCACGATTATCCTTCATATCACACACGGCTGTAAGAGAGAGTGCTTACCACAGGTTTGAGCAATTCTTCTATAATTTCTTGTGCCTGTCTAAGCCTTAAGTCAACAACACTTGCAGGTAAATCAGCCTCAATCAAAATGTGTAGTGGTTCATTGAGATGTTCATAGCCTGGTCTTCCTCTTAACTTCTCTTCCTGAGGATAGACAGAGAATAAAATATGATTAAGCACACAACAAGAGTCATTTTGAAGGCACCATCTTTCTCAGCATTTTCGACCATTAGACTAGGAAAATCGATATCCAGCTGTTCATTACCTTGTCTGGATCCTTTATTGATCCTTTTCCTCTAATATACACACGGCATCCTGTACTAACTTCTACGCGTTTCAGTGAGTTGCCTCTAGGTCCCAGAAGTCTTCCGACAAAGTTGAACTAACAAGAAAAAGAGCTATATACTTTTAGCACATGTAGATGATTGAACCTCCAGTTTCAGAAGAGGTAGGTATAGTACAGTTAGTGTATGATCAAGCATTAAAAAGACAAGCCGTGTAATTGAAATGCGTAAAGGCTCACATTGGGGTATGTATCTACTGGAATTTCCAATCGCAAGATCCTCTTAACATTGTTCGAACTAGGACTTGCAGGTGCTCCACCTTGCCAGTCCATTGTCATTCCAGTCGGTCCACAAAATCTCTGATTAGCAAAGAAGGTAATGTCACTTCAGGTGTATAGGAGTTCGCACAGGGCATAAGATGAACATGTTGAAAAGTGATGAAAAAATGACAGCCTTTCGCTGTAAAAATCAATTCAGCATTGCTCTTGCAATCCACAAAATCTCTGCTTTGCAAAGCAGGTAAAGTGAACCATTTGAGAAACCAAAAAATTATAACAACCTTTTGCTACAAAAATGGATTCTGCAATGAACTAGTATTCCAAACCTTGAAGACCCTATAACAGAATTTTTTAAGGGTTTGCTATAAACAGTAAGGCAAACAGCAATAAATCAAAATGCAGAGTTTCACTGAAGGAGGCGGTGTCGGTGTCTTCTTCAGGTGATATGGCACAATTTTATGGCTAATAATATGATCAGACGATAACTCATTCTTAAATTTGGCACTTTCTAACCTCATGAAGTTGTTAGCATTAGAAACAATCATGAGAAGAGAAGCATTAATCTGCCAGCATTCTCAAACCATATGCAAATACAATATTAAGTCAATGTATTAAGCATTTCTTTATTCACGTATATTTTTCAACCTCCGCAGCCTTTAGACTTCTTTTCTTGGGCAGAAATATCATTCAGAAATTTAAAACTCAGATGTCACTGGATTCTCAAATGACTAAGGCATAGAGGGAATTTAAAATTATAAAGGAATTGTAGTGAGAAATAGATTTGGATTTGAATCAAATCCAAATTTATAATTTTTTATATATCCAAATGAAATCCAAACGCACCATTAATGTATTTTAGATGTTGAACATGAAAATAATGCAAAGGTCACCTATCATTTATCATTCCTTGAATTTCAAGAACTTTCATCAAATTATACCAACTAACCAAAAAGCCCTTCTTAATTATGTATTTTCATGCAACAGCTATTAACCACAAAGCAAGACTAGCAAGTAATGTCCCTAAAACTCTATCTCATGGACCATGGCAAATCATTAGTATTATAAAAGGTTGAGTACAAGAAAGAAGCATAACATGTCATGAGTTGTATACTTCCATTATAAGAACCCATATTGTTGGGCTCCTGTAAAACATAAAGCTTTGGAAATGTATGATTGGAGGATTTAAGTTAACAATGAGAATTCCTGAATTTCACAGACCATGCAATAACAGAGCAATTAAAAAGGGATGAAAAAAAAAATAGACTTGCTCATTTGCATGTACAGATGATACTTACATGGTAGTGGCAAGCATATGTAGAGGATATTATAAAACACAAATGCAGAAGTTACAAGCTTAAAAAGTACCACCTCCTGGGAATTCCAGCCACCTAATCCAGTCCCAGGGACATTTGATATAAGATTTGAAGAAGCCATAGGACTCGGGCTTCTATTCCGTAGCCTGTCAAAATCACCAAAACTTTGGTTGGACATCATTCCAGAAACTCTCAATATTTCTGCACATAGAAAACCAGTCTCATGAGAAATTGTCAGGCGCTATATAAAATCATATTCAAAGAATGTAGAAGGACCTAACTTACGATAAAGAAAGAAGGGAGAAAAAGAAATGAATAGATATTGAGTTATATCGAAAAATGATCACGTATAAGCAGATACAATTCAAACTATATCAGATTGAAAGAAACCTAGGAGTCGTTTTCCAGCTCCTCCAATCTTAAAGAAGATTGCTAGTTGATCATTGATAAAACACAAAACGGTCAGGAGAAGTCACTTGCCCTAAATTTCTTTGAGCAAGAAGGTTTCTGGGCAGTCAAGTATTCTAGTGTTGAAGGCCCCATCAACCTACATTGTATTGAATGAGATTCTTGACCTTTAAGCCCAAGCTAAAAGTCAAGAGAAAAACCATGCCAAGTCCAAAGCCTGTACAGAATCAATCAAGGAATGCCAAACACTTCACGGAAACTTCAAACTACTTGCATAAACTACAGCAACTCCCTTTAAGTTTCTTCTTCCAGCCACCAAAAGAAACTGCTCGAAATTTCTCCAAAACCAACCCCAAAAATAAACACTATTCATTCAGACTCAGAAATTGACAAAAATGCATCTTGGAAATTCCAGCCTCGCAATCAACAGTTCTACACACTACAAATAATTGGACGGTTCCAACATGTTGCTTGCTTTAACAGAAACAGCAGAGGTACATTTTGATCAAGGCAAGCTAACTGAGGTGATTCAGATGTTGAGACATTATAGAAATAGGGATTAACAGGGATTTCAATTTAAACTAAACTTGAAGCTATTCAAGTAAGTGGCGAAGAGAATTGAGGCAGCACAATGGATAGTGATAGACCACAAGCAAAGCAATCAATGTACGATTAAAGCGTCCGAAAGCAAGAAAAACTGGAAATTAAGATTAACAAAGATAAAAACCGATCTGAAGAAGAGGACATGAGAAAACGAAAGAAATGTAGAGATCCACGAAAGTGAGGATTAGGGAAGAAACCTTGATTTAACAACCGACTGCATATCGGAAGCACTTGAACGAAGGGTCCAAGCTTCTGATGCTCTGCTAGCAACTCCGACAAGTACTGACTGCCACAACAACAAAAACAACCCAAGAAAGTAAAAAACAAAAAAAGACATCACCTTTTGAATCAAATGCACAGAATTTTTTTGACGAACTGGACCAAGACTGTGCCTTTCGCACCCTACTCGATGTTTCATCAAACATTCGCAAGCAACCTACCTATCCACATCCGGAGTGCTTCTAATCTGAGGAGAAACCGCTCTAGCGTGAGAGAAGTTGGGATTATACAAACCAGACATGGGATTTTCAGTCTCGCTGGTTCAGCTCTTATCAGGGAATGAAGAAACAAGAAAATCGAAAGGAGAGGATTCAGGTTTCAGTCGATGTGGTTCTTGTTGCAGAGGGCAAATGAGAAACAGAGGAGCAGGAGGAAGAGAAGCAATAAAGGGGTCGACAGAAATCTGTGAATTTTACACGGAGGGAGGCAAATCATTAATTATTTTTCTAGCTTTTTTTTTTCTGTCTCTCTCTATTTTTTTTTTCTCCTTTTTTTATATCCCGCTTGTCCACAAGCTGTGTGGTGCAGGTTGTGAATGACAACAAAAGAAATACAAATATATTAAATAATTAAAATGGGGAAGCGATGGACTGCAAGTGGAAAGTAGTAGGGGTTGATTTTGCAGTGACAAAAGGTTTTGACAGTGAGCGAAAGCCGAGGAGGAAATGAGGGAGAAAGAATTTACAACGTAGTACAGTGTTGAGACGATGAGGTCAGAGACACTGTAGAAAGTTAAAAAGGCATGTGTGGTCATGCAAGCAGAGCAGAGAATCTAGTGAGGTTCCATGCTAAATAGACGGCTTAACTATACAATAGGAAAACGTAATTTGACAAAATGATTTTTTGAATAATGGGGAAACTAGCATTTTCTATTTGAAAAGTAAAAATAATGTAAGATCTGAATTCTTAACTGCAATAATCAAGAATTCAACTCCTATCATCAATATCAATATGTATATAACATGTAAAATTTTTTAGAGTTTCAATTTCAATAACATCCTTTTATAGGGTTTACATTTGTTATAAAATTTAAATAACAAAATAAATATAAAAATTAAAAATCTGTTGAATTATCATCTCTTCCTTCTAATACACAAAAAGACAGTACTATCTAATTTTTTCTCTTAAAAAACACTAGTTATTCAAATAACTAAAATTTCGAAAAAAACTAACTTTGTATATATATATATATTAAAACAATTATTTTTCTTTAAAAAATTTGTATTCAAGATATCACTTAAAAATAAAAAATAATGGTTTTTTTTTCTAAACATAAGAGGTAAATTCTATGAGATATCTCCTTTAAATAAACTTTTTTCAATTAAATTGTTACATATACAAGAGTTGAGATTTGAAATCCTAACCATTTATTTAAGTGACTAAAGACTCTATCACTCATACTAACTAAAATAATAGATTTATTGATCAATCAATACTTTCTTGTTAGCGCTCGTTAACTAATGAAGCTCGTTGTGACTCTAATAAATGATTGAAATTTAATTTACCTAAACTATATATAATTAAAAAAATCTCAAAATAGAATTATTTTTATTCACAAGAATCCAACCGAAAATTCTAGTTTAAAAAAGCATAGAGCCTTTTAAAGCAAAGAAGGACATGAATAGATATAATGTTTGCTAATATCGGAAAGGTACGGACTAAGCAGCCAAAATTAGTTTTGCCAACAGGATGTGAGCTGGACTGTGATACCCTTTGCATTACAGTGTAAACCCCCCCCCCCCCAAAAAAAAAAAACAAAGGTTACAAATTAGGGAGATGCATACAGTAACAGCTCCAACTACCTCTTGAGGCACTGCATTGCATAGCTTGTATTTGCACCATTTCTTATTAATTACTACTACATAATAAATTAAGAAGGGGCATCACATCAGCAAATTTGCACATGCCACAACTTATTATCTTGGCATGCTATACCACCTAATATTCTTTTATTGGATTTAGACTCTTGTAAAAAACAATAAGGTTATCTCCGATGCTCGTTGTTTAATGAGCACTGAGCATATGGAAAAAAATTTTAAAGGCAAGTTAGCATAAAAAAATATGATTAAAGTTCCATTTATCATTAAGCCCGAGCTCTGCATGCACATGCCACGTTAATAGAAAATGGCAGGTTAATAGGATGAGTAATGGAAGGAGATTTTTTTGCTCATTAAAAAAATAATTTAATGAAAAAATTATCTCATTTATTAATATAAGATGCCCAGCACTGTTCCAAAAAAATTAGGGTTAAAATTGAACATTAACACTTTATAATATGTTTTGGAATTAAGTAACTTTTAACTAACTCACTCAATTAAGAAAATTAATTAGTTCTAATAATTATGTTTGAAATTGCCCCTATAATTAATCTTTCATTCCCTCCAAATTTAATGGCATCATTTAATAGAAAACAATTAAGGAAAGAAGTCATAAATGCTTCTTAAATTGTTTTGCTTATAAAATGAGTACAAGAAAGCATATGGAAGTTTTGATTATACTCCCTAAGATATTTCTAACAACTTGTCAAAATTATTGAGAGATAATTAAATCATCAAAGTTAAAGTATATTTTTAGTCATTTAACTTTACACAACATTTCATTTTAGTTTTTTAATTTTATAAAGTGTCTTTTTAATCCTTTAATTTTAACATTGTTAATTTTATCCCAACAAATTTTTAACTTTGAACTTTCAAGTGTTGATAAAGTATTTTCAGCTATTGACACATTAAGTTTAATTTTTTTAAAATGACAATGATTGATATAAAAATAATCATTTAAAACTAATGACATTAGAACTAACGAACTAAAAAAATATTTTATAAAATTAAATGACTAAATTAAAATCTTATATAAAGTTAGAGGATTAAAATTATACTTTGGACGATCATTAATTATATTTAAAAATAGAATAAATCTTTTATTTTGACCATATTTAAATGAAATTTTTCAGAATTTGTATTATTTATTCTATTATAGTTATTACTTTAAATACATATAAGAAAATGACTTAGGTACTTCATCTTATATGTACTTAATATACTATAATGTAATTAAATCAAAATAAGTAATTTTAAGTATTAATAATATTAATAATAAGAGCTTGTCATATAAAATTGATAATGTATAACATATCTATAAGTTTTGATCTAATTAAAAAAACACTTAAAGATAAAAAAACTAAGTATATAAATTTTTTCTTAGTAATACTAGAAAATCTTAATTAATATCCACATCAAATAACTTTTAATAAAGATCACGCATTTCTTTTAAAAAAATACTTTATAATAAAGACAGAAAAAGAACAAAGCATGAGTTGTAAAGCAGTGTTGAAGGTTTCAAAGACAACAGAAGGACCAAGGTCGGTGATTCGGGCCTTCTCTCCCGTGTGTGTATATTCTTAGTGGTCTTTATTATAAAATACTTATAATAAAATTTAGTAAAATTATTGAAAATTAATTTAATTTAATTTTTATTTTTATTCCTAATAAATACTGTAAATTTAAAAATAAACATTCTTTATTTGTTTACTGAAATTAAGAAGAATGGCGATGTAATTAGAATAAAGCAGTTAATACTATAAAAACTCTTGCAAGATGAGTTATATTTAGGATCATAAAATTATTGTAAAATACGACTGATATATAAGTGTGTATGTGTGTGCTTATTTATTTATTTATTTATTAAAGCGTGAATAACGCAGAAGAGAAAAATAATAGGGGGTAGTATAATGAAGCTTGTAAAATGCTTAGCCTAGCCACGTGTTTGTAGTACTCAAAAAAGTGTTTCTGTCTCAACTTTTTTCTTTTTGGGGTCCCATTGCCACTGCCGGACTGCCCTTTAGAGAAGATTTGTTAACGACAACAACAATAATACATTAACGCATCTATGTTGAGTCTAGTTATAGGATTGTTTTTTCATAACATGGCAAGTTAAAATTGAATTTTAACTTAAAAATATATTTATATTTAATATTTAATAAAATGACGCCCGCATACAATCAAAAAATAATAACAATACATTTTTTTTGGCCGAATAATAATTAATGCATTGTGATGATATAGAAACTTCAAAACTTGTAAGGCTAGTTTGGTACTATAAAAAAGATTTTGATAAAAATAAAAATAAAGGTAGATATGAAAATGGAGATAAATATGAGATTTAAAAACATTCTTGATATGTTCATGAAATTTAAGGGAAAAAAAAAAAAGCAAACCCCTATCAACACCCACCTTCATTGTCTAACCAAGGACTAATTTTTTCACGAAAAATATAATTTGAGTCTTTAAGAGTGGTCAGTGTATTTGGTGGTAATTTTTCCATTGGATTACCTTCATAAACGAGCTTTAGTAGCGTTTAAAATTTTAATTTGATGATGTTTATAAAACGCTATAAAATTCAATACTATCTTAAATTTTAGGTGGTGTTTTATTAATTAATGAAATGCTACAAGAAGCTAGCAACAACGGTAACATTCTCAAAAGGAAAATGCCATCACTTTTAAAAAATAAAAGGAAAGAAATGTGACATTTCTTACAAGAAACGTCACCTCTCTACTTATTTTTTAAAAAATAAAAAAGAAGAGAAATGGCATTTTTTTACCTCTCTATTTAATTTTTTAAAATATATATATATATATATGTATAATTTTTCATATATCAATCAATTTATATACATAATTTTTTTAGTAGATACACAATTAATTTATACAATAAAATTTATTTATATAATTAACAAAAATAAATAATCAATTTCATATTATATAAAACCACAATAAATTTAGCAAGGTCAGAAAACATAAAGATAAAAAAAATATAAATTAAATATTAGTTGAGAGATATAATAAAGTTTATCAGCAATTTTTATAATATAGTTGTAAAAAAAAATACTTACAATAAAAATAAATAAACAATAAAATAAAAAAATTATGACTAATGTTTAACAAGTTTCTTCCTCAATGATTAATAGAGATTATCATCATTGCCTTTTTTAAAGTTCAAAACTTGACAAAGCCAAACCATTTATCATTGAAAGCATAAAAATTAAAATATCACCATCTATCCCCTAAATCTGAATAAAGATTTATACCTAGAGAATTATTTCACCAACAGATATGCTTGGTAGCAAATTAAAAGAACAAACCCTTCAATAATAAAAATAAAAATTGCCAACTGAAAATAAATAACAACAAAACCATAAAGATTCGTGGTGTGTGTGTGTGTGTGTGTGTGGTGTGTGTGTGTGTGTGTGTGTGGATAAAAGGTAATAAAAATGAAAAAAGGAACATGTTATTAGTATGCACATACAAGCAACCTTAGTTAAAAAAAAATGATGAGAGCACCTTCAATGATTAGGAAATAGATACCTCATGAATTATAGGAGAGAAGAGCAAGCGGCTGGATGATGAGAATGACTTAGATGAAAAAAATTAAG